GCTGGAGCTAAGAATATTTAATTTGGTTTCACGCGAAATTATAAGAATAGCAGAAAATTACGTATGATCATCGATTATAAACATGGCACCGGTGCGATCGTGTAAAATTATGTGTGAGAAATATCTCGTATTCAGAACGCGCACTTAAATATTTCTTCTTCTTATTTCGTGTTGGCGCCAATAGTGGCGGTGATGATAAACTATGAGCCCTAATAACTGATAAAATATCGACTCTTGTACAATTCTACTCACAAACTCGCCACATTAACTTGTATGCTAATTTGCTTTTTATTGCTGGATTACATAAATCTATATTTACCTTATTATAAACTGAACACATGATATATAGGCCACGAAGGCATACTATAAGCCTGAAGTTCTCTTTGTAATTTTTATATTCTTGCATTTGACCTATTTCCAGCCCGCCCTCCGACTTGTAAATTCCGTGCAGACGAAAATCACACGGCATAAAAGTTACAACACCAGGTCAGGTTATGACAGGTAGATGGAACAGTGGGTCAAACAGAAGTCACCCCAAAAAATGCTGAAGAATCAGGTTGAAGCGTGTAATTTACATAGAAGTCCACGTAACTAGAGTAAGTTCAGTGTATTTCACCATGAGCTTCGTCACAAATTCCTTCAAAACCTGCATCCTTAGAGATCGCCTACCACGAGATATTCGCTGTACGTGTTTCCATACTTGTCACCCATATTTCCAGTTCCTATTCTGATCCAAATGTTTTTTTCCTTTCCAGATCCCAGAAATGGATAATATTCATCTTGCATCCTTCATCGTAAAAATCATGACAATACCATTTTAGAAATGTTAAGCACTTAAATAGTTAAATTGTTTTCACTTAAATGTTTAAATTATTTTTAGAAAATAAGTTAAATACTTTATTTGTTAAATTGTTTTTAGCTCACACATATATTAAGAATAAAAAAAAACAAAAATGTTCATATATTTTGCTGCAGGTGTCTCCATACTTGTTACTAATAATTCCAGTTCCTGTTCTTATCCAAATGTTTATTTCCTTTCCAGATCCCAGAAATGGCCGACATTGAATTTGCGTACTTCATTGAAGAAATAATGAATCTGCCCCTTTAGTTACGTAGTTTGTAAATAACAGGTTAAAGAGGTTTAGTTAAATAGATGAATTCCTTTAGTTAAGTAGTTACTTTGTTTTATTTAAACATTTAAAGTTCACATATTGTATATTTAAGAATAAAAATAACAAAACGTTCATAATCTTTCGCTGCACGTGTTTCTATACTTGTTACCGTAATTGCAGTTCCTGTTCTGATACAAATGTTTATTTCCTTTGCAGATCCCAGAAATGGACTACATTGAATTTGCGTCCTTCATTGAAGAAATAATGATTCTGCCCCTTTAGTTACGTAGTTTGTAATTAAAAGGTTAAATAGGTTTAGTTAAATAGATAAATTCCTTTAGTTAAGTAGTTACTTTGTATTATTTAAACAGTTAAAGTTCACATATTGTATATTTAAGAATAAAAATAACAAAATGTAATTGCTGTTCCTGTTCTGATACAAATGTTTATTTCCTTTGCAGATCCCAGAAATGGACTACATTGAATTTGCGTCCTTCATTGAAGAAATAATGATTCTGCCTCTTTAGTTAAGTAGTTTGTAATTAAAAGGTTAAATAGGTTTAGTTAAATAGATAAATTCCTTTAGTTAAGTAGTTACTTTGTTTTATTTAAACAGTTAAAGTTCACATATTGTATATTTAAGAATAAAAATAACAAAATGTAATTGCTGTTCCTGTTCTGATACAAATGTTTATTTAATATGCAGAATCCAGAAATGGGCAACGTGGTGTTTGCGTCCTTCATTGAAGAAATAATGATTCTGCCCCTTTAGTTACGTAGTTTGTAATTAAAAGGTTAAATAGGTTTAGTTAAATAGATAAATTCCTTTAGTTAAGTAGTTACTTTGTATTATTTAAACAGTTAAAGTTCACATATTGTATATTTAAGAATAAAAATAACAAAATGTAATTGCTGTTCCTGTTCTGATACAAATGTTTATTTAATATGCAGAATCCAGAAATGGGCAACGTGGTGTTTGCGTCCTTCATTGAAGAAATAATGATTCTGCCCCTTTAGTTACGTAGTTTGTAATTAAAAGGTTAAATAGGTTTAGTTAAATAGATGAATTCCTTTAGTTAAGTAGTTACTTTGTTTTATTTAAACAGTTAAAGTTTTATTTAAACAGCTAAAGTTCACATATTGTATATTTAAGAATAAAAATAACAAAACGTTCATAATCTTTCGCTGCATGTGTTTCTATACTTGTTACCGTAATTGCAGTTCCTGTTCTGATACAAATGTTTATTTCCTTTGCAGATCCCAGAAATGGCCTGAAGTGCGTCTTGGTGCGTCTGGACGTGTTTTCTAGACACGTGAAACTGTATCCGTTACGAGCGGCCACATCCAAGGCTTGCCTTAACAAGTTAAAAGGCCATTATTTTACTAGGGTACGCCGGCCTAAAGCAGTGTTGGGTGAGCATGGGACTCAAAAGTGAAGTTCTCGCCGATTCGGCATCCGCAAAGCAACCCGATTGAACGCGTTATGCGTGGACTTGGGACCTTCTTCAAAATTTATTGTCATGCTTCCCACAGTACACATTACAGGTGCCTCTGGACCCCAATAATGCTGTCAAGCCCCAGATTGCGTCAGCAGGATTGCTGGACCTTTCTGTACTCACGTCGACTGTCGCCCAGTTGGTCTACGTTGCAAAAGCTGGCGACGTTCACGAAGTTTTCATCGCCATTATTGTGTTACTAAGCCTCTGCCTTGTTGTGCAGGTACGTGACACGTAGTCTTAGGTTTCTGTATTCAAGAAAAGTTACACTGCTTACATGCCCAGTCTGTTCCTGCAGTAACTTATATTCTGCATTAACCTTGGATAGGGTAACTATACGAGGATACTCTTCCCTCAACCTTGCCGAGACTGACAAGAACTAGTAATAAACCCAAAGATTCTCTAGCCGGAACGAGATTCCTAGACATCACTAAGCAGAGACTACATACGCGCCAAGCGAGGCCTTTACCTGGTGCTACACTTCAGGCGCAGGTCATGTCCTGCAGCGATATACAACACGCTGCTCTATGGTGCAGTAATGGGCTCATTCACAAACATTACCGTGGTGCTCAGATGAATCTCCGGTCAAACACGAGCTGACCGCCACAGAAGGCATGGAATCGCGCCGATCGCAGACAAGATGCGAGAAAGTCGACTCGGATGGTACGGTCACACGCTCCGAGCCAAAGACAGAACAATCGCGAGGCGAAAGGAAAACGGCCGAAAGGGAGACCGAGGCTGTGATAGACCTGAAACGATCCCGACCAGGCACACGACCGCGTCAAATGGAGGGATTTGATTAAACCTGTGAATGACACTCTAAGAAAGCTTTTCATGAGTTTTCATCACTCTGGGAGAAAGAAGCCTTTGGTGATGTAATTGTAGAGAAGAGATGCGAGTCAATAATGGGCGAGTACAATTTTAAGAGTTGTATTAGTGTTAAGGACTATATAACTTTGTACTTGGAACCCATGTTGTATTAACGGGAATTAAACCTTTTATTTTGTTTAGTATATTATTAAAGTAGTTAAGGGAAAGATTGTGACTTAAATATGGGACTACGAGTGAGGAGGTATTAGGTCCCTACTGGGAAACACCTGACTATTCTAACCTGTAGATCATAACAGTAGATAAGGATCAATCCAACTGGGACTGGACTAAATATGCTGTATTCGCATACAACACCACGCCACATACGCAACAAACTACATGCTGTTCGAATTCATGTTCGGGCAAGCTGACAATTTACCGGGTTATCTACAGAAGCCTCCGGAAGGTGTTAACTACGCTACGTCTGATACCCTCCCATTAGTACCGATATTTTGCATCCGCAATAGCAAATAGGACCATGCTGTGTTTTTGCTTTTAACTGTAGAAATATGAACTGCTTCCTGGTGGAGGTATGATTTAAATGTGTTCACCGCCCAGAGCACCAACACAATGAGGAAAACCACCTCTTTTCAAAATTATTTGCTATAATCTTACAATCATCTTCAGTTTGTGGGAACTGGGAAAAAACATGTGTTTTTTAAGGAAGAAGTTGAAGACCCTCATCCAGATTTGGAGCAATCTGTTAAAAAATCTAAAACAATCCAGCCAACAGCACTTGGAATATATAATTCACCTGGACAAGATTCGATTCGATCATCAACACCAAAAAAACCTCAAGCAAGACCCCCTAAACGAATGGCATCAGATAAATATGTTTCTGTGTATTAAATAATTAAGTTGATCTTCTTGTGTATTTGTTTAATCTTGTCAGTCTAATAATCACAATAAAATTCCTATTAAATATTAAAATATTACTATCACACAAGCAGATAAAGGAAAAACTATCGTCATTCTTTCTATAGAACAATATCAACAATACATTTCACAATTTATCAACCAAAATTCATTTACAACATTAACACATAATCCTACACCAAATTATCAAAAAGAAATCCAAAAAGTAACCCAAAAATGTAAAAACATTTTTAATCCACCAAAAACCCAATACTACAACCACAGCGCAACTTCACCCACAATCACAGGACTCCTCAAATTACATAAAAATCCCTATTCCATCAGACCATTGATAAACTGGACATCAGCACCAGCTTACAAAATCTCATCAAAAATAGCCAATCTCTTAAAAGATTACTGCAACCTACCAAACACTTTTAAAATAACAAATTCTATAAATTTAATCAATGAACTTAAAGAACTCGACCTTAATAACGACTTACGAATTTGTTCATTTGATATTACTAATATGTACACTAATATCCCCTAGAAATAGCGTAGAGCTGTTAATGGCCGCCTTTACAGCCGTCATTTGTTTATGTTGAAATATTTTGTTGTAGGCGCATATCTACGAAGTTTTAAAGGTAGCAGATTACACGGTAGGCATAACTGAGTGTTCGTTATTCATAATACAAAACACATTTACAGCAAAACAAGAAAAAATGAAGAAATTTATTAAAAAACAGCTGGAGATCGAGGATGAGAAGACCAGAAATGCGAGTGTGTACAAACACAAATAAACTATGTGATGTGCACTTCCATGCATGTTGTCAATTAATGATATGTAATGTGACGTGTCGCCTGGAGGGGTGGGGCCGCTTGACTTCCAGGCTGCCTGGTCTGCATCTGCCAACATCTTGGGAGGGGGATGATAAACAAAGTCGCATTCCTGGGCGAGCCGCAGGACAGCAAAGTTTTGAGCGTGTAAAAAGCTTTTACAGTCAGATCAGATTCAAGGCAGCAGACCCCAAAATTCAAGGGTTGACAATCAAGGTCGTAATTACCAATCCACGTCACACTGGTGTCAGAAGTGGGATTGTCAACAATGGAGTCTGTACTGCAGGAAATACTGGGAAAATTGCAGGAGCTGAGCAACAACCAGCAACAGCTACAGGATAATCTAAGCTACAGTTTTCGAAAGAACTAAGCGCCCTGAGGTGGAAGTGGAGGAGAGGATCACCGACAATTTCGACGGACAGCTAAAGGGCGTGCTGTCGGATGTGGATCAGAAGACCGAGGTCCTGAGCGAGTTCGAGACACGGCTGCAGGCGGTGGAGGCCCGAACAAGGCACAGACGGAGGGGGCGGAATGTAAAGTAAAAAGGCAAGGGAGCATTTATTAGATTAGAAAATTTTGTAAAATCAGGGGAAGATGCTACTGATAGTGGACAACTCAAAGTTAGATTAACCTTATTACAGGAAAACTGGAACAAATTTAATGAGATCCAGGATGAATTAGACTTGTTAGAAGAGAATGTTACTAGTGATAAAGAAAGGACTGAGTTTCATACAAAGAAGGTTGAAAGATAGTCAATCTCAACAAATGAATATTGTGCCAACAGAACCAGTAGTTCAAGTGAAGCTACCACAATTGTCCTCGCCACATTTCAATGGAAATATAAGTGAGTGGATTACCTTTAAGGATACATTTTTGTCACTTGTGGGAAATAATACAATTTCAAACATACAAAAATTTCATTATTTGTTATCAGCGGTTAATGGAGATGCCAAGAGAATAATTCAGCACATTCCTTTAAATGAAAATGGCTATGATATTGCATGTAGTTTGTTAATAGAAAGATACCAGAATGAAAAACTTATTGTTATTGTCCAGCAAATACAAAATTTCAGACGGGAGATAGAAAGAACCCCCTCCCAGCAATTGAGCATGAGACCAAAAGAAATAGACTGCAGACTATGAACCTTCTAGTTCGCCTCGCTCGAGACGACACCTCAAGGACCCCCACTTACAAGAAGCCGCGCTAGACCACAACAACAACTAAGTGAACGAACATTAGTCCAGAGACAGGACACAATTGACGAGTAGAGCATCTTTGCACAAAGTTAAATTTCCACCAGTAAGCAGGTAGGGTAAGTTGCATGTAATACATCAGTTGAAGGAGGAGGCACGAACCAGAGTGACACTGCGCCTGTGCAGACTGTCGGAGTCGGCCATGATGTCACTCGAAAGGCCACAGTGGCACCAACGAAAAGAGAGAAGAAGAAGAAAGAGAGAAAGAAAGAAAAAGAAAAAAACACTGACCTAAAGTACAACACGCTCTTCATCAAACAGAAAGACGTGATTTTGACCAATGACGAGTGGAAGATAGTGGTAAACATTGATTTGGCAAATCTACGAGGAACTATTAACCAAGTAGAAAGACGACTGGCACCAGACGCATATAACCAATATTATACGCAGGGAAGCCCTGAAACGAAAAAACATTCTGGAAATACAAGACCAAAAAAAAACCCAACAAACTTATCAAAAAACAGATGCAGGTCCAGGATTTGAAGAGTAGAAATGCAAGTAAAAACAAATAAAATGTGCACTTCAATGAAGAAAGTAAGAGGATTGGTTAGTGGAGTGAAAGTGAACAATGTGTGTGACAATACTGTTGTCACTCAACTTTTAAACAAACATGAATGGATAGCGACTATGTTGGACAGTGGACACAAACCTAACTTAACCCTTCAGCGTGGAGTGCCGAACATTACTCGTCATGACGTATTCATCCCATGGCGTGGAGTGCCGAGCACTGCTCGCATAATGCGCGCTAAGACTTCTCCTTCTTCGTAGCGACTGACCTTGTATTTTATGTATTCTGGATCCAGTAGCCGTGTAGAGAAAAAAGCTGGCTATCGATTGATATATAACATGACTCAGACAGATCGATTTTACCAGTGTTTTTCGACTTTGAAATATAGATCGATTTTTGTACTCAACTGCATTCAGCCTCTGCTTTGTGGCTCTCTCTAGGGAAGACGAATGGAGTAATATAGTTAAGGTTACGACGGCTGTGTAGGACACATTCCAAGCTTTCTAACGGTATATGATGTCAACAACCTTAGACAATGAATTCTCTGTTCTTACCCTTGGTATGAACAGACTTCTAAAGTACGTGAATTTCTTACATGTGACGAATCTGAAAATGAATACAATGACGGTGAACAAAGTGGGAGCAGTTTACCGAGTGTGGCACGTCCTACTGCTTTTACATGGGAGAACATAAACAACTATGTAGGACAAAGAGAACAATTTGTCGGCAATTGTAGCATAGTGTGTTGTGAACATTTTGTTCAAAGTTTCACTAAAATTCATCAATTATTAGGGAAGTTGTGCCCATATAAGTAAAATGATGCACTTTCAGCTCAAAATTAAATCCCCAAGCAGAAACTCCTCCCACAGCAGCACAGTATAGACTTTGGATTTAAATGCTCCCACGCTGAAGGGTTAACTTAACATCTTCGAGGAGTGGATACTTCGACAACACACTGCACGACAAATGAACCAGTACCTACGCAGACACGCCCGATATGAACTGCTAAGTGAGAAGATACAAGTTAGAAGCCAGCCACTGAAACAGGATGATAACATTCAAATTGTAGGCATATATGAAAAATATAATTCTCACCTATCCTATTAGCCCACATAGACATATGCTTATATTGCATGCATCACGTTAAAGAGCAAATGAGCATAAGAGCAAGTCATTTGTCTTTTACCTTTGATTGCGCTTAGTCCAGCTTAGTTCGTTGCAAATATTCTGTCCCAGTCAGAGGACACGCACATTTCGGAACAATTTATTAATCTAACAGTCAGCAATTGTTAGACCCACGCCCAACACACAAGTCCGGGAATCACCCCTTGTCGCCTGTACGTGAATGCTTTTTCGAAATACTCCGAATCTGGCGGCCATAGTCTATCATGATCCTGGTTTTATGTGGACTATGGGGCGAAGTTCCCTCCCTCTCTGTGACCAGTCTTGTTTCTGGGGCCCACCTAGCTTGGTATCCCTTGACAACCGAGGGTCAAGCAGGCTGAAGCGTTAAGATCACGCTTGGGCACAGGAACAATTATCGCCTCAACGAATTATCTGAGACAGAATCAGAATCGAGAGAAAATTCTCTCTTAACGAAAGTAAAACCACAATACAAAGCAGACAGGTTATAATTATCCAAGCGATATTCACTTCGAATCTTGTACGACACAATCCCCACCTTGTCGAAGGCAAATTCCTTACCAGCTCATAAAAACCATTTGCACATTCACCCTGTCCCATTCACAATTCATAACAACCTTAGCATCCGCCTTTCGAAGCGGCCTGTGAGATTATTGAAACTCTGTGGCACCATAATCTAAAAAGAATTCCATCCAATTCCAGCCCCCTCTTAAAACACTCCCAAAATATCAGTTTCATCCAATAGCAGTAAACTAACATGTTCGTATCGGCTATCTCCAGTTTCCTGGTTCTTCTCAGTTACTTTAAACCAAGCACAGAATGAAGTCTCGCAATTTATCATTCATAACCATCCTGGCATGTTTAATCAATGGATACGCAACATTATCAGTTGATAGAGTGTTGAAGGAACAAGAATAAAACACTCCTTCTAACAGTGGCTGGTCTCAGGATTCAAGGCTCTGACATCACCGCAGGTCTTTTCAAAAGAAGAATAGTTCATGGACTCGACAATACACAAATTTGTAAATTACATAATGTAAAGTAAAGGAGGATGTACTAAAATTGTTGTATGTTTAGCAATTTTTTGTCTTTGCAATAAAGCATTAACTTATCCTTATAATTAATTTTTAATTCAGTATTTTTTTTTACCCTTATTAGGTTGCTAGTCCCCCATCGGGCGCCTCCCCAGGTTGCGGATAGGGGAATGCTTCCCAGATATGGGTGGTACCGGAGAAATCAAATACCCGTGATGGATAATTCTACTTATAAACAAAAGATTTTGAGTCTGTTACAGTCTGGTGTCTATGAACCTCTAAAGAAGGACCCTACATCACAAGTGGAGAGGAAGATACAGAAGATCCTCTCTAAGCATAAATCTGTCATTGCTACCGATCTGAAACGTAGACTGACACCATACCACAGTAAACCTCCTTATCTGTATGGCCTTCCTAAAATACACAAACCAGATATCCCCCTCAGACCGATCGTGAGTTCTATTAGTTCACCTTGATACGTCCTTGCGGGATTCCTGCACAAGATTTTGGTTCATCTGAGTAATAGCACGGAATCATTCGTTAAAAATTCGGAACATTTCATACAACTATTGAAGGATGTCCATCTTCAAAGTGGAGATATACTGGTTAGTTTCGATGTAGTCAGCCTATTTACCAACGTACCAGTGGAAGAGGCCCT